TTTTTTTTTTTTTTTTTTTTTTTTTTTTTTTGCATATTGGATAGGGAGAGGAGCAAACAAGTAGCTGGATATTTCTACCTTTAAATGTCAAAAAGGCTAAAATATATGTTCATTTCATCCCAGCATCAAATCCATACATGCTGTTTTTGCAGCTAGTTGCTTTAGTTTTCTCCTTCCCATTATTAGGAATTGCTGACTTACAGGGTTGGGATCTCATTTTGGTGTTTTAAAATTTCATATTGACATGAGGAGCATTTGTTTTCCTTATAAAAGAGTAGAAGGCATGCGATGTTTTCTTTACTAGTGTGGTGTGATAAAGCATCTAATATTGTTTTGAAACTGAGGAGCTGATTTATCTTCCTTGCTTCAAGTGAGACTTAATACACCCTCCTTAAGCAGTAGTTGTTGTCATCATTGAATTTGACAGCATGTCATCAAGGGTGAAAATGAAAGATGAGAAGCAGAGGAGGACCCCTGGAGCTTTTCCTGAATTTGGCGCAATCTTCATGTCAAACAGTGCAACCAAAAGAGAGTGTTTTAAAAGAAAGCTTTTTGGCCTTCCATCTTCATATGCCCACTTTGTAAATCATGTTAAGGCTGGAATGATACTATTCCTGTTTGAATTTGAGAGGAGGGAACTTCATGGTGTATTTGAGGCATCCTGTGATGGTGAGATGAATATTGTGCCAAATGCATTCAATTCATTAGGGAAGCAATTCCCTGCACAGGTAAAACTGTTGCATCTTAGAGTAGGCAGTATTAAAAAATCCATTAGCTGACAATTTCATTATTTGATTCTTTCCTCTGGGTCCTTTTGTGTAGGTTAAGTTCACCCATTTGTGGTCCTGTACTCCACTTTCTGAAGAAGAATTCCGAGATGCTATCAGAGAAAATTATTTCTCGGCAAAAAAGTTTAGCTTCGGACTGTCTGAAGATCAGGTCTACCCATTTCCTATAATAACTGGAAATGAATGAAGTGAAATTTCACCTTCTAGCAGCATTGTCACATTCTCCCTCTATCTGGTTTTGTAGGTTCTTAGGCTTCTTTCATTGTTCAGTTTGAGAAAGATAAAAGAGCAGGCACCTGAAAGACATCTGACTAGCAGTGGACTTGCTGGACCAAGTGATTCCTCTACAAGTAAAGTTAAAAGAGTGGTTCATAGTAATAGGGTAATGAGCAATAAGGTAACAAGTGAACAAAAAGCAGATGGCAAGCTTAAATTTTTTCCGTCAACAGTGCATCCTGGGGATCCTTTTTGCAATGATGGAAGAGAAATTAATGATGAAAGATTTCAAATACCTCAGAACATAGGAGGTGAGAATAAAATGGATGGTGAAATGGCTCCAGGAATTTCAGTTGAGTATTTTGGCGATTCTTTTACTAAAATAAGAGGAGACATAAATGGGAACAGGCTTGCAAAAAGTGATAGGGCAAGAAATGAAAAGAATGTGAATGTTGGATATTCTATAGGAGATTATGGAAGCTTCTCTGATGTCAGGTTTACAAGGGGCAGTGGTTATGAAAATGAGCCAGTTGTGTCAATGGGGTATTCTTTGGGTAATTCCAGAGAAGCTTCTGATGGTGTCAGATTTACCAGGAGTGGCAGATTTAAAAATGAGAATTTTGGGAATAATGTTTTTGTACCAGCCACCTCAATGGAATGTCCTAGTTTTTTTCCCACTAACCATAATGCATATAGCTATTCTAGCAATCATGTTTCAAATGCAGATACTTGTGTTCAAGATCCAACGAGGCCCAATTCAACATCCATTTGCACAATGGAGCCGAAAAGGTCCAACATTTCTTACCCTACAACTTATGGAGATGCAATCATCACGAGAACTCATCCACATGTTCCCAGTATTAATTGTAGATGCTGCTCATCCACTTTGGGGATGGGTCAGGATTCTAGTTCATTGCATTCATTGCAATCTGCTCCTGACAATACTATTGCTGGTAATATCCTCCCCTCTAGAAATCAGCCACTGTCCTCCTATCTAAAGTCTGGAAGTACAAGCATGTGCCCTGATGTTGATTCACATTCTAGGAACCACATTTTATTGGCCCATCTAAATCAATATGAGCACTACAGTAAGGCAAGCTTGTCACATCCTCCCAGTGGTGAAAACCTGACAGTTAAATCCTCTGAAAATGAAGGTGATGATGGCATTTCTTTTCTTATGCATTCTCAAAGTGGAAATAATGGAAGGATAAGTGAGCCCCTCTCATCTTCCTCTTTTGGCTTGAGCTATCAATACCATCCCATATCATCAGAAGTCAAAGCCGGTAATAAAGTGCCAGAGTTTGAAAATGCCATAGAATTTGCTACTGATGTTCTGGCTTTTGATGAGCATCAGTTTCTTCTGGGAGGCCAATGTCCTGCTCAACCTAAAAGCACATATCACCATCAAAAGACTTCATTGAATCCTCCTGTCTATCAAAGTTCTGAAAGCATGGATGTAGATTGCCAGAAGAAAAGGGGTAGTGTGTTTTCCCGGTTAGCTTTGGCTCCAAAAGCATGTAGACGAGAAAATAATCTCTCTTCTGGAAATAATGTCCATGGTATTGATGGTTCAGTGGATGAAGTCATGTCAACATTGTACCATTGTCATTACCCATGGTCAAAGGTAAGCCGTGGGTTGTTAATCAAGCATGATTATGGTGCAAATATTGGGAATAAGAAGCAGGTGGAAATGAACTCCAAGTCATTGAAGGATCCGTCAGCTATTCCAAAGGAGATGAGCATTAGAAGTATCCCTCCTGTCGAGGAGATGAGCATTAAAAGTATCGCTCCTGTTGAGGAGAATGACAGCCAACAAGCTGGAGGGACACCTTTTGTGGACTTCAAACGCCGTAGTGTACTGAGGAAACCACACCCTGATAGTAGGACTGAAAACTGTAGTGGAAGTGCAGAAAAGGACACATCAACTGGACAGCGTAAAAGGAGAAAGCTGATTAGGCCAGACTTTGGCAAGAATCACCCATCTGAGGAGAAGGCTAGGGATGCTGATGTCCCTGAAAATTTACAAAGGCCTTCACTGGAATCATCTGCTGGTCCTGAAAAGGTTTCTGTCAGCCATATTAACAAAAATACAATTCCTGAATATGTTAAGTTGCTTCTTGGGATTTCTCAGGCTGATCATGAAGGCAAACACACGGTCAACATAGGGAGAAATTCATCACATGAGGACATTAATGTGGAAGGTGAGGCTCCTGCAAGTCTACAAAGACCTTCTCTAGAATCCTCAGTTGGTACTGAAAAGGTTTCTGTTAGCCATGTTAATGAAAGTAAAATTTATGAATATGTTAAGTTGCTGCGTGGGATGTCTCAGACTCATCATGAAGGCAAACATACTGTTGACATTGGGAGCTCTTCATCTGAGAACATTAGTGTGAATGGTGATGCTCCTGAAATACTACAAAGATGTTCACCACAATCATCCATTGATAAAAGACATACCAATTTTAATGCATCTGTTAGCCATGTAAGCAAGATACGACAAAGTGATGAATTGCTGGATTTGTTGCATCAGACCAGTCATGAAGGCAAAAGTATCAGCATGGGAAGGCGCTCAAACATGGAAGAATTTAAGATCAAAAGCTCTGGAAGGAATGCTGATGAACATAGCAAAAAACTATTTGAAAAAGATCATAGCCAGGATGTTTCCTGCTGGAAGTTGTATACTAAAGCTGATGAAAGTTTTAGTGCCAAAGATCCAAGGCAGGATGAGTCATGTCAAGGTGGTGATAGTGCTAGCCCCATTGTTGTGCGGGATTAATCTCCAAAAGTTATTGAAGAAATTGTTTGAAGTGAAACTGTTCAATTGAAGCGAACCAGATCAGAATGGATTAAGAAGGTGGCTTGAACATATCTTGTAGAAATAGAAGCCGCTGCAAGTGAATTCAAGCAGCAGACATCTTTTGGAGGTGGTAGAAGTTTGCTTTTGGTGCATCTCATATTTTTGAATCTGTTGGCTGCTACAGTAAGCTAGAAGTAATTTTGAAGAAATGTGCTAGATAAAAGTTGTACTCCAACTGGGTATCTGCTGCAGCCGGCGCAAAATGGAAATAGTGGTATACAAATTTTTTTTGCTGTCATTCCAAATTGCAGTTCATGAAAATTCTTTGTGCCTCAATGAACTCGGAGAACCTTTTTTGGTTTTGTAGTTTGGACGGTAAGCACATTGTCCCTCGTGTGTTAAATTCTCGCATTTTATTTTTTAGAACGTAATGGTAATATGCTGCATTGCTGCACCATCAAATCAAAATGCATCTATATACATAACAAAATATTTGAACATAAATGTGTTGTTAAGTCATTGATGATACTGTTATCCCCTGTTTGGTGAAAAGGAAATGGATCTTTCAATTTCTCTTCTTT